TAATAATAATAAGAAAGCCAATTAATAACAGTAATAATCAATATTTATTCTCAATTAATCCACGATAAAACGGGGTATTACAGTCTATCCACCTTACAAAGAATTCTGTCCTCAGAATTCGAAAATGAGAATCTAGAAAGCGAAAAAAAAAAAAATACAAGGGAACTCAAAACTCAAAGTTCGGATAACGCCTCCTAATACCGTCCTCCCTCTCCCAAGTCGCCTCGGTCTCATCGTGTCGGCTCCACAGCACCTTCACCAAGCTCACTGCCCGGTTCCTCAGCTGATGGACCTTCCGATCCAGAATAGCTACCGGCACCTCCTCATAGGTAAGGTCTCGCTCGACCTGCAGCTCGCCGAAGGCCACGACATGATCAGGATTATGCACATACTTCCGAAGCATCGAGACATGGAATACGTCGTGCACACCCGACAAGTCTGGTGGTAAAGCCAGCCGATACGCTAAGTTCCCGACTCGGTCGAGGATCTCGAACGGCCCAATATAGCGATGTTTAAGCTTCCCTTTCTTCCCGAAGCGAATCACCCCTCGCATGGGCGAAACCTTTAGAAGAACATGATCTCCCACCGCATACTCATGCTCATGCCTCTCCCGGTCGGCATAGACCTTCTGCCTCTCCTGGGGGACCTGATGGCCTTCCGGATCTCCTCAACGGTCGCAGCAGTACTCTGAACAAAATCTGGTCCTGTAATCCTCCTCTCTCCAACCTCATCCCAATATAAAGGAGTCCGGACCTTACGTCCGTACAAAGCTTCGTACGGGCACATCTTGATCGAAGAGTGGTAGCTGTTATTGTAGGTCAGCTCGACTAGCGGAAGGGCATACTCCCAAGTCAGGCTTCGGTCCAAGACCACAGCCCTCAAGATATCTTCCAAGTACTGGATCACACGCTCCGACTGACCATCCGTCTGGGGGTGAAAGGCTGTACTAAACTCCAACCTCGTCCCCATGGCTCGGTGTAATGTCCTTCAGAACTGGGATGTGAACTTGGCATCTCGATCCGAAACGATCTCCACAGGCACTCTATGAAGCTTGACAATGTCCTTGACGAACAACTCGGCGTAATCACTCGCCTTCATGGTCGTCCGGACAGGCAAAAAATGGGCCGACTTCGTAAGGCGATCCACTATCACCCAAATCGAATCGTACCCGCTCCTTGATCTCGGCAGTCCAACCACGAAATCCATGGTGACGCAATCCCACTTCCACTGGGGAACCTCCAGAGGCTGCAACAACCCCCTCGGTTTCTGGCGTTCAGCCTTCACTTGCTGACACACCAGGCACCCATCCACGAACTTCGCTATCTGCCTCTTCATGCCTCGCCACCAGAAGGATTTCCTCAGGTCCTGATACATCTTCGTGCTACCAGGATGGATGGTGTACGGGGCACTATGGGCCTCCTTCAAAATCTCTCTCCGCAGCTCCCACACCCTCGGAACACAAAGTCTTCCCTCGAAGACCAAGGCTCCATCGGATGCGACTGCGAATCCACCAACTCTACCAGCTGCTGACAACTCCCTCATCCGACACAAGAAACGGTCATTCGGTTGCTCGGCGACTATCCTCCCTCGAAGAGTCGGTCCCACCACCAAAGAGGCCAACACGCCCCCGGCTGTCGAGGTCGACTCCACTGTCTCCAACTGTAATCGCTCGAACTCCTGAAGAAGCACATCCTGCTTGGTGAACAAGCAAGACAACTGGCCATGGCTCCTCCGACTAAGGGCATCGGCTACCACATTAGCTTTCCCTGAATGGTAGCTAATCGTGCAATCGTAGTCCTTAACCAGCTCCAACCACCTACGCTGCCGCATATTCAGCTCCTTCTGAGTGAAAATGTACTTTAGGCTCTTGTGGTCGGTGAATATCTCGCACTTTCCTCCATAGAGGTAGTGCCGCCAAATCTTCAAGGCGTGAACGACTGCAGCTAACTCGAGATCATGAGTTGGGCAGTTCTGCTCGTGAGGCTTCAGCTGCCTCGAAGCATAGGCTACGACCTTCCCTTGCTGCATAAGGACATACCCCAAACCCATCTTCGAAGCATCACTATAGATGGTGAACTCCAAAGTAGGGTCTGGAATGGATAGAACGGGCGCGGTAGTGAGTCTTCTCTTCAACTCCTGGAAACTCTCCTCACACTTCTGACTCCAAACGAACCTCACGGCCTTCTTCGTAAGGTTGGTCAGTGGTTGGGCTATCTTCCAGAAGCCCTCAATAAACCTCCTGTAGTATCCTGCTAACCCCAGGAAACTACGAACATCCGCGGCACTTCTTGGCGTATCCCACTTGCTCACTGCCTCGATCTTGCTGGGATCCACCTCAATGCCTCTCGCAGTCACAATGTGGCCAAGGAATGCCACACGATCCAACCAAAACTCGCACTTCGAGAACTTAGCATACAGCTTCTCGCGGCGAAGGGTCTCCAGCACAATCCTCAGATGCTCCTTGTGCTGGTCGATGTCTCGGGAATATACCAGGATGTCGTCGATGAACACGATAACAAACTGGTCAAGGAAGGGATGAAAGACCCTATTCATAAGGTCCATAAACACGGCCGGGGCATTGCTAAGTCCAAATGGCATAACCACGAACTCATAATGGCCATATCGGGTACGGAAGGCAGTTTTAGAAATATCAGACTCACGGATCTTCAGCTGATGATAGCCAGAACGCAAGTCGATCTTCGAAAATACACTGGCTCCTCTCAACTGGTCGAAGAGATCCTCAATGCGAGGAAGGGGATACTTGTTCTTGACTGTAAGGGCATTCAACTCCCGATAGTCAATACACATGCGCATCGATTCGTCTTTCTTCTTCACGAATAGGACGGGCGCTCCCCATGGCGAAACACTCGGACGAATGAAACCAAGATTGAGCAACTCCTGGATCTGGGCCTTGAGCTTTTGAAGCTCCTTTGGTGCCATACGGTAAGGGGCCTTAGAAACAGGGCCAGCCCCTGGTACTAGATCAATGGTAAACTCCACTTGACGGTCGGGCGGTCCTCCGGGCAACTCATCAGGAAAGACGTCGAGATACTCGCAGACGATAGAGACACTCCCCGGGGACCTCTCAGAGTCGTCCTCGGATATCATAGAAACCAGATAGCCTTGACAGCTACCCTTAGAAAGGCTCTTCTTAGCTTGCATCGAAGAGATGACTCGAGGCACAGTCCTCGATTTCACCCCATAGAAAATAACAGGCTGATCAGAAACAGGGAAGAGACTGACTTCGCGCTCCTGGCACCGGATATCGGCTCGATAACGAGTGAGCCAGTCCATGCCCAAGATCACATCGAAGTCTCGCATTTCAATAACATAGCAATCGGCCTCCAAAACACGCCCACCAATACTGACTGGAAGACGGGAAATCCTAGAATTGGAAATAATAATCTTTCCCGAGGCAAGACTAACCTCGAGAGGATCACAGTTGCACACATTGCTAATAGAAAGTGCCTCAAGGCATCGAGACGAGATAAAGGAATGAGTAGCCCCAGTATCACATAATGCAAAGATAGGCACATCGAATAAGGAAATCATGTCGGACATAGTACCTGCATTCTTGGCTGCCTCGTCGTGAGCAATGGTATAGACTCGAGCCTGGCCTCCTGCACGCTGCTGGTGTGGGGGTGGGTGTTGTCTGGGCTGCTGCTGTGGGTAAGGTGGAGGAGGAAGCTGCTGCTGCTGCTGGGCCTGCTGTCTCGGGGGTTCGGGGCATGCACTGAAGAAATGGCCGGGCTTCATGCAGTTGAAGCAAACCTTCTGGACATAACGACAATCTCCGGGGTGATAGCGGCCACATTTAGGGCATCTCGGGTTCTGACCTTGAGCGACTGGTGGAGCATTACGGGGGTCTGGTGTTCCACGCTTTCCCTTCCGGTTATCCCGGCGGGAATCAAACTTTCTCTTACCCGAACTAGAGCCGGGCGGTGCAGAAGCAATAGGCTGGACTAGCTGAGCAGAAGGGACCGAAGTATCGAGAGTCTGATAACTCTCCAGCTGGGTGGCTCGGATAACAGTCTCATCAAAGGAAAGATTTCCCTGGCTAGCAACATGCATACGAAGAGTTTGACTCAGCCCATCTCGGAACTTATGAGCCTTCTTCAGATCAGTGTCCACCATATGTGGAGCAAAGGCGCTCATGCGGGTGAACTCCCGCTCGTACTCCTCCACGGTACCAGTCCCCTGAGCAAGATCCCAGAAAGCGCGCTCCATCCTCATGCGATAACTCTGAGGATAGTACTTCTCCATGATCACTTCCTTCATGCGATCCCAAGTCAGGGCATTAAACTCCGCCTGCCTCAACCTCCAATAGCCGGACCACCACAAGGCGGCACTCCCCTTAAGCATATAGCGGCCACAAATAACCTTCTGCTCGTCAGAGCACTGTAGGAGGTCAAAGTTCTGCTCTATCTGACGGATCCACTCCGCCACAGTCTCGGGCCCTTCAGTCCCATGAAATTCTGGCGGAGTTAGACTCCGGAATTGGAGCACGATTTTGAGATGAGCCCCTGCTGGATTGGGAGCCTGCTGGTGAGGGGGAGATGGGGATGGAGACGGAGGTGGAGATGGAGTAGGCTGACGGTTGCGAGCATTACGACGAGCCATAATTCTACATTGAAAATGGGTCGTACAGTTAGCACAATAATAAAAGAAGTCTAGAGTTCAACACTAGAGTTCTCATTTGAAGGTGGATTAGTCCTAACCCCGATTTCATTTCAATAACCAATAATCAATAAATATGCAATAATCTCATAGTCATTCAGGTACACATACCTGAGCTGGCGCGGCACGACGAGAGCGAGTGATCATAACTTAAGGTCAACTCACATAATCAAATAATTCACATTAACCAGTCTACAGAAACGCAGACTGGCTCTGATACCAAACTGTAACGCCCACTTTTATTTACCAAAAATCAGAATAAATTTTTCGAAATTTATTTCAAAACAATATTTGAGGCGCTACTCTTTTTCAAACAATAGTCAATACTCATCAATTTCTCAATACTCGACATTTATCAATACTCATAATCGATAATAAAATCCCAATAATGAAATAATAATCCAATAATGATCTAGGGAAATAATCCCTAACAATATTCCAATATTCCAATACTAGAAAACAATAATCAATAATAATGCAGTAATATCAAGTTCAGTTCAAAGCGAAAGCATTTAACAATTGGAAGACCACCACTCGCATCTCTTCCGCCGTGCCGCATAAACTAACCTGCATCCGTAAAGAGCAGGTGGGGATGAGCACAATAGGAAAGTCGAGGTGCTCACCGCTATGCAATAATTAATCTCAATAATCATGAAAATAATTTAAGTATGGTCGCAGCATGTATACGAATCAATAATCGTCCCATCTCCTATCAATAATCAATAATGGTCTCATGTGCACACCTATAACAATAGACTACTGCCGAGCTATATACCGAACGCCTTCCTCGAAGGCCTTACAACGAGTGCCCGGCCAGCAGGAGCAATAATCCACCCCGAATGCCAAAACTTTCGCCTTGACCTTACATACGAGGATCACCAGCCAAGGCTCACGCCCTGTCTGTCAACAATAATAAAGGAGACTACCCATCGGGTACGTTCTATAGCTACGGGGATAACCGTTCGACGGCCGATACAGCTCACATCGAAGGCTACATGTTCCACATGCATACTTTGATCATACCATAAGTAAACAATTAATTAAGGCATAGTAAATTTTACAATTACAACCCACCTGGACTGCAGAGGATGATGACGAATGCACGAGCAAACAAAGCAAGGGCTCGACTCCTCTTAATCTACAAATTAGGGTTTTAATTACTACGGGTTTGGTTGAGGTTGATTAACAGATTGATAGAACGCACAAAGCAAGCATTTACGACAAATAAGCACAACAAAGCAACCAACTCTCTTTAACTATAAGGCTCGAAAGTTCAGTTTCATTTCCTAACCACAAGCTGAAACATTAGAAACAATATTCCACACATAATTAATGAGAAAACGAAAACATACACAAGGCACGGCAACACATTAAACAACATGCCAAATTTCCTATCATTTGCTCATTAATTAAGCCACACCCAGGGATTTAAAAAAAAAATGGTGTAAGGCTAAGAAATTATCAATTTGAACATAAGAACATCATACAATTCATTTGATTTCTACAGTAATTCAAAGGAAACGACATGACCACACCAACATGCATATAAGCCTCATTTCCTTCTTTTTTTTTTTTCTACATTTAGCCCTACTCAAGGTCGCAAAATAACTGACTTAGGCTATATTATCAGCATAAAGAACTCATCACAACCTCAGCAATGAACAAGGTATACTTACAGCAAATAATTCAATAGAAGGGATAAGGCAATCTACATTAACATGCATCAAAATCACATTCTGCCACTCAAGCAACCATCTCATGTGCCAAAGCCAAATAACTGATACCAAATACAAACATTTATGAAATTTTCAGCCTCCTAATAACCTCACATCATAAGGTTTAGCAATATATTAATACGCGAGTCTCAATAAACACATAAACAGCAACTAAAGTACAAGAAGAATTCCCAACAATCGCAAGGCAACCACACGGCTAGACCTGGTACCAACTTAACACATGTTACGGGCTTTATAAAGCTCAGACAATTACTCTGATCTTTACTCATTTTCAGCATGATAGCAGTACATAGAGTTCAACGTATAAGAGCAACACAAGGTTCGAGATTAACGTACAAACATGCTAGACCAAAATCCAATCAAACTGAAGATCAAACAATAGCTTCGGTCATTAAATATTGCTAAGGTTCAGCTCAAAACAATTACTACAAATAGGATTAAAACATGCTTCACAGTTCACATAAAACTTAATAAATTTTAGCATGGATAAACTTACTTAAAAGCTGAAAACTTAAGCATAAAAAAAACACATAATCTCGTTGAATATATGAGGTATAGGCTCAGCTAAAATACCACTCTCGGGGCTCGTCGGCTACGTTTGACACTCCGATGGAACTCGACGGGCCTCGACGGCTACGTTCGGCACTCCGACAGGACTCGACGGGTCCCGAATGTTGGAACTGAACGTGACGGAGGAGTAGATGCGATGATGATGAAGATGATGATGGCGATCGGATGATTGAGAAGAGGGCAGAGGGCAAGGGATTGGAGAGAGATGGTGGACGATGAGGTAGCGAGAGAGAGAAGACTATCGCTTAGGGTCTGCGGGAATTGGTTTTTTTAACGAGCTAAGGGAAGGTTATCCTCTCTAATTATAACCCTTAGGCTAGGTTAAAAAAAGACTTAATCCCCAAGAAACACACTTCACACACACACACGCACACGCACACACATGGAAATAGTGAAACCGGGTAAAATAATTAGACAAATAATATTAATAATAATAATATTACAAATAATAGCAAATTTGCATTTAATATCAATAATAATAATAATAATAATAATAATAATAATAATAATAATAATAATAAAGCCAATTAATAACAGTAATAATCAATATTTATTCTCAATTAATCCACGATAAAACGGGGTATTACAACGTGTCGAAGACGGCTTTTCGCACGCACCAAGGGCACTACGAATATCTCGTGATGCCTTTTGGTTTGTGCAATGCGCCTTCGACATTTTAGTTTGTGATGAATTCAATCTTCAAGGAGTACCTTCGTAAGTTTGTGTTAGTATTCTTTGATGACATTTTGGTGTACTCGAAAACATGGGCAGATCATCTCGAGCACTTGCGAATTGTCTTGGGGATTTTGGAGGCGAACTCATTCTACATCAAACCGTCCAAGTGCTCGTTTGCTCAAGAAGTGGTCGAGTACCTCGGACACTTTATTTCTCATGATGGCGTTAAGGTGGATCCAAGGAAAATCGAGGCAATGGTGGGATGGCCTAAACCCACGAGCTTCATGCAGTTGCGAGGGTTCCTTGGTCTCACGGGCTATTATCGAAAATTCGTGAAGGACTATGGGACCATCGCAAAGCCACTTACGGAGATGACGAAGAAGGGAGCATTCAAGTGGACGGAGGCAAGCGAGAAGGCTTTCGAGGAACTAAAGAAGGCCATGACGACCACACCCGTGCTCGCGATGCCCAGGTTTGATGTGTTGTTCGAGATTCACTCGGATGCGAGCGAAATTGGAATCGGAGCGGTTCTGGTACAGGAAGGACGACCCTTGGCTTATCTCAGCAAGGCTCTCGGGCCGGTGAGCTTAGGGTTGTCCGCATACGTAAAAGAGATGCTAGCCGTGGTCGAGGCCGTGCGCGTATGGAGGTCGTACTTGCTGGGGCGACGCTTTCAGATTATCACGGACCAGCAGCCGCTCAAGCACTTGCTCGAGCAACGGATCGTGACGCCCGAGCAGCAGAAGTTCATATCCAAATTTATGGGGTTCGACTTCGAGATAGTGTATCGGCCCGGTCGCCAGAACACCGTGGCCGACGCATTGTCTCGACGGGAGGACGTGGCCGAGCTCGACGTCGTGACGGGGCCGACGTGGGCCGTTTGGACAGAGCTTCGGAAGGCACAAGACAAGGATGCACATTGCCGGGACATGATCGAGAAGCTTAACATAGGACACGGCAAGGACGAGGACCATGACATGCACGATGGCTTGCTCCTTTATCATGGTCGAGTCATCGTGCCCGAGGCGGGATCGTTGCGCGAGGACATCATCCGGCACTTTCACGACTCGAAGTTTGGAGGACATTCCGGGGTGTTTCGGACATGGATGAGGATTGCGAGCACTTTTTATTGGCCAGGACTGAGGGGCGATGTGCGCGACTACGTTGGCGATGTGATGAGTGCCAACGCACTAAGGCGGACGCACGTCGACCGGGTGGACTGCTTCAACCATTGCCGGTCCCTGCACGTATTTGGGAGGACATCACCATGGATTTTATCGAGGGGTTGCCACTCTCGAATGGGTTCAATGGAGTCATGGTGGTAGTCGACCGTCTTACCAAGTATGCACATTTTGTTCCACTTACTCATCCATACACGGCTAAGTCTATAGCAAAATTATTTGTCGAATATGTGATGAAATTTCATGGGGTGCCGCGGTCAATTGTTTCCGACCGAGATCGGATATTTATGAGTAGTTTCTGTCGGAGTTCTTTAAATTGCAGGGAACCAAGCTAAGCATGAGCTCAACTTATCATCAACAAACCGACAGACAGACAGAGGTGACCAATCGCACGCTCGAGCAATACCTTAGGTGCTATGTGCATCAATTTCCAAAGCGATGGGAGAATTATTTACCTTGGGCCGAGTATTGGTATAACACCCTCGACTAAGGCAACGCTGTTCGAGTTGGTGTACGGGCGCAAACCGGCGACAATCGTGAGTTACTCGATGGGGAGCACCGTGAACGATGAGGTCGATCGAGAGTTGGTCGAGAGTGACTTGATGTTGCGCGAGCTAAAGCGGACATTGGAGGGCTCGATCAATAGGATGAAGGCGTACCATGATGGCAAGAGGCGCGACGTAGAGTTTGAGCCCGGGGATTGGGTATACTTGAAGTTGAGGCCGTTTCGGCAAAGGACGGTTGCGCAAAGGGCCGCAACCAAACTCGTAGTTCGATATTACGGG